ATGTGATGCAATGCTGGGCAGTGCCATGCAATTGCAATGTGTTGCATTTGATGCAGCACAACAAGATGCAACATGATGCGATGCAATGTGGAGCAATGCCATGCAATTGCAATGCAGTGCAATGCAATGTGACATGAGGCAACATGATGTGATTCAATGTGATGCGGTGTGGGGCAATGCCATGCAATTGCAACGCGGTGCAACACAACATGATGCAACATGATGCAATGCAACACGGGGCAATGCTATACAATTCCAATGCGGTGCAATGCGATGCGCTGCAACACAACATGATGCATCACGATGCAATGCAATGCGGGGAAATGCAATTGCAATTGCAACGTGGTGCAATGTGATGCAATGCAACACAACACGATGCAACACGGTATGATGCAACGCTGGGCAATGCCATGCAATTGCAACGCGGTGCAATGCCATGTAGTGCAACACAACATGATGCAACATGATGTGATGCAATATAGTGCAGCATGCTGCAATGCAACACGGTGTGATGTGACACAACACCGCAATGCAAGGCAGTGCAATGCAACACTGCAAAATGCAACACAACGTGATGCAATCCAAAGTGATGCAATGCAGTGCAGTGCAGTGCAATGTAACACAACACGATGCCACACAGCACAATGCAATGCAACGCAACACAAAACACGATGTGATGCAATGCAATGCAACACAACACAATGCAATGCAGTGCAACACAAAACGTGATATGATGCAATGCAATGCAATGCAACACAACACGATGCCACACCGCATGATGCAATTCAACACAACGTGAAACACGATATGATGCAATGCAATGCAACACAACACGATGCAGTGCAACACAACAACACGAGATGATGCAATGCAATGCAATGCAATGCAATGCAACACCACACGGTGCAATGCAATGCAACAAGAAACGTGATATTCTGCGATGCAATGCAATGCAACACCACACGATGCAATGCAACACAACACGAAACATGACATTATGCAATGCAATGCAGTACAATGCAATGCAATGCGTTGCAGTGCACTGCAACCTCACACCACCCCCCGTCCTTCCCCCCGCTGTCCCCAGGGAGGTGCCCCAAGCCCCTGAAGAACAGGGACGTCATCACGCTGCGCTCCTGGCTGCCCATGGGCAGCGACTACATCATCATGAACTACTCGGTGAAGCACCCAGTGAGTCCCGTCTGCATGGCGGCGGCGATGGGGGGGTGCCGGGCTTGCAATGGGGGGGGGGGCTGCACCGTTGCATGGCCCGCGTGTGCCCGCAGAAATACCCGCCCAGGAAGGACATGGTGCGGGCGGTCTCCATCCAGACGGGCTACCTGGTGGAGGGCAAGGGCGCCCAGAGCTGCTGCATCACCTACCTGGCCCAGGTGGACCCCAGAGGTAACGTGCGGGCAGGGGGGGGTTGCATGCAAGCTGCAAGCTCCGTGCTGCATCTCGCCGTGCATGCGGGGGTGTCACTGCCCGCCGTGCACGGGGGGGTGTCGCCGCCACGTCGGGCCTCAGCGGGCTCCTCTCGCCGCAGGCTCGCTGCCCAAGTGGGTGGTGAACAAATCCTCGCAGCTCCTGGCGCCCAAGGTGAGTGCATGGAGGGGACACGGTGGGAACACGCGGGGACGGTGCTGGGACCTGCAATGGGGACACCTGGGGGTGCTGATGGCCCACGCTGCAGGCCATGAAGCGCATGTACAAAGCGTGCCTCAAGTACCCGGCGTGGAAGCAGAAGCACAACCCGCACCTGAAGCCGTGGCTCTTCCCGGAGCAGAGCACGCTGCCGCCCGTGGCGCTCTCCGAGCTCTCCATCCAGCACGCCGCCTCGCTCGAGAACATCGACGAGAGCGGCCTGGCCGAGGGCAAGGAGGAGCGCGCCGAGGGCAGCGACGACGACAGCGGCAACTGAGGCGCCTGCATGCAGGGGACRCCCCCCCACCGCCCGCCCCGCTGTCGCCGGGGGGATGCGGCTGCATGCGGATGGTGGGGAGACAGCTGGGATTGGGGCTGCGTGTGGCCCCGTGGGGATGCGCTGCAGGGGTGGGTGAGCTGGGGCTGCGTGCACCCTGTGGGCATGCATTGCACCCCATGCAAATGCACTGCGGGGCTGGGGTACACCCAGGGCTGCATGCACCCCATGCAAATGCACCGCGGGGCTAGGGTGCACCCAGGGCTGCATGCACCCC